TATATATATATATATACATTCTTATTTTTTTAAAAAAAACTGGCCGGACCACCAAAAATGGCTAAAACCAGATCGGCGAGTGCCTAGTTTCAGTTTGATCGGCTGGTTCCAAGTTGAAACGACCGAGTTTGCATCCACTATAGAGGGTATTATAGTATGGGATTGTATACTATAAGTTCACTTGACTACAAGGAGGTCACAATTACTCCTAGCTAATGCTGATAATTTACTCAGTTTGGATCCAAAACCCAAATTTCGGACCCTATTCGAATCCAGGAATGGATCCATATTTGATTGGACGGGTTGGATCCGGATCTAAAATTTGGATTTAAATAGTATTTTAGATTGGATTTGGTTCTAGGTAGATCCGATCTAGATCCAACCGAGATATTAAAATAATATATACATATATAAAAAATCTCCCCCTCGTACTCCCCCAAAACCTATAAAACGGTATCCGGATTTCTTATTAGTTTCATTACAACTCTCTCCTTCTCTAAACTGGTTTCATTACAACTTTCTCTTTCTCTAAACTCTAATTTCATTACAAGTCTATTTCTCTAAACTCTAGCCTATAAAACGGTATCCGGATTTCTTATTAGTTTCATTACATCTCTCTCTTAAGTGTGTGATCCCATCAAAGTTAAACTGTAAACCGTGGACGCCCTTTGCTTGAATTTTCCCAAGGCAGCCATGGCTAAGACCTGCTTAAAGCTTCCCAAGTTGAAGTTTCCCAAGGCAGCGATGACGAACGCCAAACTCACGACTAAATCCATGCATTATGTTTGCTGTTCATCGATGGCGCCTACCGAACCAGAAGATTTAACCATAAGCTTAACAAATCGTTGTCTTTTTTCTTCTTTTTTTTCTTCAAATCTTTTTTTGATATAACTTTTCTTTGTCGAGAAAGAAAATGGCATTACATAGGCTTGCTTTGTTTTCAACAGGATCCTTACCCCCTCTGTTTTTTTGCCCACCCACAAAAGCCCATGCTGGAGGGATTTTCTTGCGACCAGCATCATCTGAAATTTGCCTTTTCTAAGCCCATGCTCGAGGGATTTTACCATGCTAAGAATCATCGGAAATTTGCCGTCGAAAGGAAATTTTTTTAGCAAAAAAAGTGCAGTTGAAGGAAAGTTTTTAGCAAAAAAATGCGAAAATCTTCTTCTTGTTGTGAGGATAAGGCCGGACGGTGACTCATAAAAGTGAACCAACTTCATGGCAGGATTTTGCCAGGAAAAGTAAGACAGATAACCAAAAAAGCAAGCGCTTCTTCTGGTTCTTCTTCTAGCTATGGCTCTACTGCTTTTTCTACCGTGAAGCTGAGAATAAGGGTTCTTCTAGGGGCTGCATGGCCGGAATCCTCAACTAATTACCATTAACATTCTTCATTCTTTATATTTTTTAAGTTATACTTTTGTATTGTGCCATCATGGAGTGTTTTTTTGGTTTTTTTAAGGGAAAAGTTTATATAGAACTGAAGCTCTAAACAGCCAAATTTTAGCCTATTTCAAAAATTTCACTTGAAGAGCTTCTTTTGATGCCCAAATATCCTTCAATTGATCATCTAGACATCAAGATGCATAGACATGAAAGAAAATTGGATTTCAAGTTTTGAAAATAGTGTATTTTATAATGCATTTTTTGACTGTCAATTTTCAAGAATTTCAAGTTTTCATAGATATATCTATCTACACTATTTTCGAAGTTTTAAACCTTATAAATAAAAATGAAATTATATTTTACGGCTATTACAAAGATTTTTAGTATTGAAACCACATATCTCGATACTATTTGAAGGTAGGCCCTAATTTAATTGTTTACAGCCTAGACTCCATACAAACTGCACCCTTTTTTTTTTAATATGATCATGGAAATCTATATTATTCGAGAGAGAATTGGTCTTGCATTTCTTTATTTTTGAGGCGGATAATGAATTATTGAATAATGACACCTATTTCACTCTTTCCTAGGTTGGATATAGATTAGTTGGGTCCGAGTCCTTGGATTCTAATGGATCTGGTCCAGACCAGGTCCAGGCCAACCTGACCAAATATATTTGGATAAATTATATATAAATAGTGTTAACTATGTAGTATATTTTTATATAAAATAATTATTTCTATATTTTTTATTTATAGAGTTTGACCCGAACTAAACCCATGGATTGCGTCCGGATCCAATTGACTTGGACCCAACCGGGACCCAAACATGGTCCGAATTGTGAACCTTATTTATCTAGATTGATACTACACTCTATTTAAATGTGCGCCTTGATCCTTGTATGAAATTTAGGATCAGGCAAATTGTTAGAGAAATTAATGTTTTCGAAATATTTGTTTCCTAAGATATACATATGGCCGTTCTCTCATGGAATAAGACTTAGGCCGTTCTCTCATGGAATAAGACTTAGGGGTCGTTTGGATCCATGGAAATAGATTATTTGGAAAAATCTATTTCCACTTAAATATATTTTGAGAAAAGTATTTCATATGAAATAGATTTCAGTTGTTTGGATGGATACATAACATTTTCATTTTTTTTTAAAAAAAGAATTTGTTATTTTTTTTTATTGTATTAGTCATTATAAAATCTTTTTTGTATCAAATTTGAGATAGTTTATCTTCCTAACTATTTGAGATAATTTCTCTCTAAAAAATTTCAAGTAGTTTCTCACTTTAAAAGTTGATATAGTTTTTCTTTCTAAAATTTTAAGATATTTTCTCTCCTTAAAACTTTAAATTTAATGTAGTTTTTCTCTCTAAAATTTTTAAGATTGTGTGTCTCACTAAAAATATTTAAATACTTTCTCTTTTTAAAACTTAAAATTTGAAATAGTTTCTCTCTCTAAAATTTTTAAGTATTTTTTCTCTCTAAAACTTAAAATTTGAAATAGTTTATCTCTTTAAAATTTTTAAGTACATTCTCTCTTTAAGATTTGATATGGTTTGTCTCTCTAAAATTTTAAGACGCTTTTCTATTTAGAGCTTAAAATATGAGATAGTTTATGTCTCTGAAATTTTTAAGATACTCTCTCTATAAAATTTAAAATTTGATATAGTTTATCTCTCTAAAAAATTTCAAATACTTTCTCTTTCTAAAACTTAAATTTGATATAGTTTCTCTTTAAAATTTTTGATATAGTTTATCTTTCTAAAATTTTTGAGATATTTTTTATCTCTAAAGATTTTTAAGTACTTGCTCCCTCTAAAACTTAATATTACAAAGATTTCCAATATTAAAACCACATTTCTCGAATATTAAAACCATATTTTTCGACACTATTTGAAGGTACCTTTTATTTGGATTGTTTAGACCCTCGGCTATATAAAAACCACGCCCTTTATGAACAGGCGCATTTGGAAGGAGTGTAAATTAAGAGAGAGAAATGGAGGATAAGAACAGAAGTTATTTAACTTGGAGAGAGAGAGAGAGGAACGTGGGAGGAAGAGCGGGAAGGAGAGTAAATTAAGAGAGATAAATAGTTAATAAAAGAGAGGAAGAGAGGGAAAAGATAATAAATGAAGAGAGGAAGAGAGGGAAAAGATAATAAATGAAGAGAGAAATAGAGATTTTTTTTTTTAAAAAAAAAGACGTGGCCTCGCTTTATATGATAATGTAATAGATAAATAGATAGATATATAGCATTATAATTAATTGATTCTATTAAATAACACTTTGAAAAAGGGTTAACTCTTTGAATTCTATTTATGTCTGGGGAACCCAAATTCTACATCATTCGGAAACAAGAAAATACGTATAGTATGCTCCATACAAGGTACCTACTTCCTTGGGTGAGCTGGAGAGGTTTTTTCACAAAATAATTATTATATGGTTACTTAAAAAAAAAAAAAATATAAATTTTGAGTTATATATTACTATTTGAAAATTGAATATTTCTATTCAATCTTGGGACATTAATTTTTAGGCATATATAGCAACCTGAGAAGTGTTTTCGAGATCCCCAAATTTTGGCAATAGAGTAAATGGACAATATGCTATTGCTGGGAAATAGCCTTTTGACAAAATAAGATCTTTATCCTTTTTTTTCTCTCAATGGTAGGCAATAGATTGATTGCAACTATAGAGCAATGTCATCCATCAACTCCCTCTAGTGAAATCTTAGTTAGGAGTATTTATGAGATATCTTGTTTTAGATACAAATTCATCAAGCTAGTGGCCAATCAGAGAGAAGAAAATATCAAACATCCTGAAAAAAATATTAAATACAAACTGTATTGGGTGAAATATAGGTGTTCAAGAACTCGAAATTTAATTTTCAAGTTGTTCCCACTTTTGGATGGTCAAATATAGCAGTTTATGAACTCAATCCAGTTTTCTTTTTTTAAGGGCGAGGTTTATATAAAGTGCCCATCTTATAGTAGACAAGTAAGGTGCACATATAAATTTTGCTAGAAGATGTATTTTTCTTGTCGAGAATTTATGATGGCATGAAAATTTTTGTTCACCTCTAATTATAAAATTTAAATTTTTTAAAAAATGGTGTTGATCTAGCATATCTATAAATTTTTAAAATTTTTGAAAATAGACGGTTCAGAATACTTGTCACAAGATGTATTATTTTTAAAACTTGAAATTCTTTTTTTTTATATTCATACATACCCAACATCAATAAGATAATTCGGAAAGGTTGTTCAATTTCAATCTCTTTTCTCAACTTTTTCCTTTCTTAAAACAACCTCCACTTTTTCAAACTGAGAAACTGGTGTTAAGGAACGTAAACTCCAATTTTTTTCATGAAGTTACTCATGTTACATGTATAAAATGTGTATAAAGTCGAAAACGACGTGCTCCAATCGCTCTCGGACGGTGGTGATGCACCACAATTCAGACATTCAACACCATTTCTCTCCTCTGACACATCTCTACCGTTCGTTTTAAGAACGAGCGGTGATTGTTTTATCAGCGTACCTTACGGAGTTACAGTATGCATAACCGCATTTCTGAAATAATCACCGGTAAATTTGCGGACGTTATCTTGGCCTATAAATAGGTCTACAGAGAGAAGGAGGGAGTTTGTCTCGCACACGTGAACATCCATGTCCCCCTTCCCACCTAAATAGAAATCGGGAAGTCGCAGAGTTAGAGAGAGAGAGAGAGAGAGAGAGGACGGGTCCCAACAACCGTAGGTACCAGACCAGAGCTATTCATCCCCTTTCCCGCCCTTCCTTTTCATGGCTTTTCCTATCTTCGAATGCATTTCTCTCTCTTCTCCGGAACCCTAGATCTGCTCTCTCACCTTTAAATTAATGGAAATGGCTACTATTTCTTCGAACCCGCGCACTGTTGAGGAAGTTTTCAAGGATTACAGTGGCCGACGCTCAGGAATCATTCAAGCCCTAACTACTGGTAACGCTGACGGCCATGGCTCGCAATTCTCTCCTTTTTCTTTACTCTTTTTCTTTCTATCTGTTTTTCATGGTTTAAGTCTTTCATTTGGGTTCCTCTGGTTTTGGTTGTCTTTTTTCTTCATTGCAGATGTGGATGAGTTCTACTCTCTTTGTGATCCAGGTTACTATTTCTGCAACTCTCTCTCTCTCTCTCTCTCATTTGGATCTCGCTTTTTATTCTGTTTTTAATGATGAATAGAGCTTGGATTTCTAGATCTATGTTGGAAGTTGTCATGTTTAGTTTTTACTGTGGCGATTTTCAGAGAGTAATCTGTCCTTGTTGTTTCTCTCTTCTGGCTTCTCAGAGAAGGATAATTTGTGTTTGTATGGGCACCCAAATGATTCATGGGAAGTGAATCTACCAGCTGAAGAAGTTCCACCAGAGCTTCCAGAGCCTGCCTTGGGGATTAATTTTGCAAGAGATGGGATGAACAGGAAAGATTGGCTTTCTTTGGTGGCTGTACATAGTGATTCATGGCTGCTTTCTGTTGCTTTCTACAATGGTGCTCGCTTTAACCGCAATGAAAGGTATGGTGAAACTTACAATACCCTCTTTCTCTCTTCCCTTTTTTTAATGGTATTCATATTTATTAGGTTCTGGAAGTCATTTTTCTGGTTTAATTAGTTCCACCAGTTCAAGTTGTGTATTAACTTCACTTGGCAACTGGTTTTTTTTTTTTCTTCTAATGTTCACGAGGAGGTTAAGGTAATCCATTTCTTGTTTTCTGATAAATACACCTTATTGGTGAAGAAAGTCTAAACATCTAGAGGCATCCAAGGATGCAGACAGACAGGCACATACACTGGTTTAACGACGTGAAAAGAGGAGGAAAGGGAAACAACAAAAACATGACCAAAACAATTGAACTATAACAAGAAAGGAAGAAAAAATGAAAGAAAAATCGAACTGTGGATGGCATCATCAATTAGTATCAGAACACGCACTTTGTGTTTGGCTGATTGGTTTGCCTCCCATATGCGTCTCCCTAGGTCTAGTGCTGTCTAAAGAAAGTAACGGAAGTTTCCCAAGTTCTTTATTATTGGTCATCTAGGTTGAGAAGGCCTCCCAAGTTCTTATGTCAAAAACCTTTGTTGGGCCTGTGTTTGGTTCCTGTCTGTGCAAGATTCTTGCAAGTGAGTCGTGTCACCAACATACACGATACACTGATACTGAGTATGTTTTCTGCCCTCTCCATTTGACATACAAAAAGCAATGTCTTGTTACTGCTGAATTGGGAAACTTTAAGTCATGTTTTTGGTAATTGCTTTAAGTTTTAAATTGTGTTCTTCAGTTCACATAGTAATGTAAGCTCAGTGACCTAGAAGGACATTGAGAAAACTTTAGGTGGTTGTCGGAAAGAAAGGAGTCTCCAAACACTACAGTGACTTGGTGAGAAATATGTACGATGAAATGCTTACTAGTGTAAGAACAACTTGTGGAAAGACAAATGAGTTTTCCGTAAAAATAGCTCTACATCAAGGGCCAGCGCCCTTACCTCTTTGTTTTAGTTGTGGATGACTTAACTAGGCACCTACAGGATGAGGTGCTGTGGTGCATGTTGTTCGTAGATGTCAATTTTGATTGATGAGACTGGAAACGACGTCAATTTTGATTGATGAGACTGGAAACGGCGTCAACCCAAAGTTTAACTGTGGAGGGATGCTTTAGAATCTAAAGGTTTTAAAATTATCCGGATTAAGACAAAGTTTATAGAATGCGAGTTTAGTAATAATAGGAGTAGAAACGAGGAAGTAGTTAAGATTGACGGCTAAAAAGTACTAAGAAGACTTCTTTTCGATACCTTGGGTTGTAAATCTAGGAAGATGGACAGATTCAGGAAGATGTCGCACACATAATTAAAGCTACGTTGGTGAAGTGGAGTTGTGCAAACGGAATTTTATGTGATCGCCGCATACCAATGAAGCTGAAGGGCAAGTTCTATAGGACAACTGTGAGACCAACTTTGCTCTTTGGGGCGGAATGTTGGGCGGACAAAAAACAATATACCAATAGAATGAGTGTAGCGGAGATGATGATGTTGAGATGGATGAGTGGCAAGACAAGAAGAGATCGAATTTGAAATTAATCCATTCGAGAAAATTTAGGTGTGACACTAATAGGCGATAAGATGAGAGAGAGTAGACTTAGGTGGCCTGTCCATGTGTGGCACAGACCTAGTACAACATATGTTAGGAGGTGTAAGTTAGTTCAAGTAGAAGGATCGAAAAAGGTAAGGGCTAGGTCCAAAAGGACGTGGTTGGAAGTAGTTCGAAAAGATATGGGGACTTATAACCTCACTGAGAGTATGACCATTAATAGAGCAGAATGGTGGATCAGGATTTATAGCCAACCCTAATTAATTGGGAAAAGAGAGTATGACCATTAATAGAGCAGAATGGTGGACCAGGATTTGTAGCCAACCCTAATTAATTGGGAAAAGATTGTGATGGTGATGGTGATGGGAAAAGATTGTGATGGTGATGGTGATGGTGATGGTGATGGTGATGGTGATGGTGATGGTGGTGATGGTGATGGTGATGATGATGATGATGATGATGTGATGATGATATGTAACTCTTTCTTTAGGGTGTTATGTAAGAGGCATTGGCACTCCATTAGTCTTTATGATTCTTCGCTGCAATGGACCAATTGGCTTTGATAGCATCTGTCTTTGTTGCTTGAGCACATTTAATGGTAGTTTGACCTCTTTTCCCTTGGTCGCAATTTTTATTTGATCTTCAAATGCATTTCGTACAATGTGTTAATTAATAGGTAAAAATTTAAAATAGAAATTTTAATAAAAAGTTTGTAAAACATCCAATCATTCTATAATATATATATTTTTTTGAGAAATGTTGACTTTTTTTATCATTCTATAATATTAGTATTAATGAAGAAAAAAATCCAGAATTGGAAATTATATTAAAAAATAAAAAATGCAATCATAGATTCAGTATCATTCAATAATGTTGCGATGCAGAAATGTAGTTTATGGCTTTATGCAATTACTTTGATGTAGTTTATGATGTAGCAATCTGGCAAGATAACTAATATTAGAGATCAAGATGCCATGAAGATGCCTACAAGGGAACGGTGAATCGTGATCCCGGAGTGGGATCGTCACCTCAGTTGGGAGTTCCCGGTAACTATGAATAAACCCATCTGGATTAAACTTTTTTTTTATACACATCTATATCAGAGTATGCTTTTAAATTTGAGTTAGTTGTGCAATGTCTCACACTCTCACTTCTCGTTCTGCTTTATAGCTCTAACTTCCTTCTTTGTAGCTTTCATTCCCTCAATGCGGGCATTCATTTCCTTGTAGCTGTCCGACTTTGCAGGGTCTGTAAGTGAGGTATACACCATAGATAAACAAATCAGTCATTGGGATGGACATTTGTTGTCCTTGTCATCGAGCAGTGAACAACTAAAAATAGAAGGAAATGCCTGAGTCTGGAAAGGAGTTATTGTGTGAGGGCGCGCCTATTCTTGGGGTTGCTTGCCTCCCCATATCTTATGCACAAATGGTCCTTGAGTTCCGCAACATAGGATTATCAGTCCCTTCAACTTTTTGTCCTTTCGAGTTCTATGCAGAAATTAAAGAGCAGGGTTATCCAAAGAAGAACTCATCAAGGGAACACCGTATAGTTGGGCAAAATTTTTGGTCATGTTCACCCAATAGATCTTAAGCTGCTCTCCCCATTGGTGCTATCATTTCTTGACAATTCTTGGGCATTTGGAAAGTGGAACTTCTTTATTGAATTTGAATTTGACCTTTCAAGAGACATTGAGTTTTCTTCTTGGAGGACTGTGGCATGAATACCCCTTTAATATAGATGAATGGCCAAAAAGCATGCATTGCTCTGATCTTGCGTCTATTTTTGTATTGGGCATTGCAAATATATGCAAAAATGTGAAAATGGGAAATATCCAGTAAGGTGATTAACTCGATAGCATGTAATTTATATTGCATTTAACTAGTGGTTTGTGCCTACTATAACAGCAATCAAAGTTGGTCGAGTACCACAAGTGGTGCTTCTTAAGCACGACAACTTCATTTACTGTGGGGTTGAAGTGCAAGAAGTCTGATGAGTAATTCCAACATCCTAAAGATACCTTGATGTTCCTCGATTGTGAAATTTGCACCTTTATTTGACTGAAAAAGTGACTGAAAAATTTTGACTTTCACCCATCAAAGTAGTTAATGACCCTGTTGTGGAACGATTTGAAGATGCTCATCCCATCCTTGACTTCTCAAGGCATTGCTTTGTTACCTTGAAGAAATCTTCAACAGAGTACCAGAATATGTCGGGGTGATCCCATGAACTAGATATCAACAGCTTTCGCACATGCTAGTTGTCATACTCGTGGACCGCAAGTTGTCCACCACTTTGGTCATGTTCGTCATGAATGATTTGGTCATGCCTGCTAGAGATTTTGAAAATGAAGTGTGTGGAAGCATGCAGATAAACAGGAGAGATACCTGTTATAATTGAGTGTTTGAATCCCATGTTGTCCTTTTATTTTTCTTCTCTATTTTTCTCTCAAACCGTAGATGGTTTGGATAAATAATAACTTGCTCTATTACCTGATTAGTTTTCAGAAGGGCTGGTGAAAGCCACAGAGCATACATTTTTCTCACTAATAGTCAAGATCCTGAGTGTGTTATATAGAAAATCCGTTTTGGTTACACACTTGCACTTGTGCATGGACAAAACTGATGTTACACCTGAACATCAGAAAATGACATGGTTAGAAAAGATAAAGAATAAGGAGAGAAAAAAAATTAGAACAACACACCAAACATAGATGAAACCATATATCCGAAAAAAACTTATATAAAGCCAATGCACTCCATCATGTTGCACGTCTTAATGTGAAAAATTTAAATTTTAATCTATCACATTGCAACTGACTGTATTTTGAAGGCATTTAGCTCTACAGGATGGTTAGTTTCTATATTTATTTTTAAATGCATTTGTATTATAATGCTTTGATGTTTTTTCCATCTAAGGAATTCATCACAATAAAATTTTTCTTAGGGATGAGGTGATATTAATTGTTTTTTGCAATATTTGAAAGAGATGCATTATAAGAGAAAAAGTTATTTCTTTGGTTGCTACTCTGTATGCTTATTTCTTTTGTTGAGATTTTGCATGCATATTCGCAGTTAAATAAATACCTAGAGGGGCATCTTTCTACTCTACTTTCCTGTTGTATGACATTATACTAATAAAGAAGTATTGTCACACCTGAACCGTTTATGTATCACATAAATGAAGTTATACTGATTAGGACTTGGAATAGGAATTCAGACTGTTGTGATTTTTGGACTTTGTGATCCATGTTATTGTATTTGCCTATTGGTGAGCTGGTTTCAGTACCCTTAATACGGATTCACAAAATGCTTCCTTTCTTTTTGTTCTTTAAATAGTCCTTTTTAATCGTAAAATACTTTTGTGTTGTTTTTTTGTTTTTTGAATATGTTGACTTAATATACTTTTATTCTAATTTCCAGTTTTACAAA